TGTCATTAATACTCAGAAAAATTAAAACCCAAAACAGCCAACTGTATCCATTAAGCAAGAAGTCTGCAACAAGGTCAACAAACTACATTAAATACTTGCATTTTCATGAATAATTTCAATTAATCTAAAATTCATTACGTTGGAATGCCCTCCGATGGTTGTAAAGATTGTCATAAGTGGTGACATCATTGAGCCTTCAACTGGTAGAAGGTTTTACCAGTTACTTTAATAGCCCAAATTAATCAATGCGGTGGACCCTTGTAGCAAATTTTAATACATCAAAGTATTGAAACAAGAAGTGCTACCTGATATTGCGAAATATAAATGAAAAAATTTTCACAATTTTAATGAATGTCCAAACGAAGCGCTTCCACAATGCCTGACTCTTAGAAAGACACTTTTCAAAAGGAAAGTATAGCACCCAGATAAATCAATGTAGAGGAATGAAAGCAAAATTGAACTTAATGGCTTTATGCCTCTGTGAAATGTATTTCTAGTTGACATAAGTAGTAGATCTAGTGTAGGCGGTAATTGATTATGCAATACGACTCTTGGTACACTGACCCCAACTCCTCAAAATCGAAGTTTTACAGAAAAGTTTTATTATTTGCCTAAAGGTGATTCATACGCGTGTTCAAGTGGAGAGATTTCATGATAAAAAGGGGAGTAGAAGGCGGAGCTGTTTATTATTTTAAGAGATCCGTCGTGTGCCGAAGTGTGGAGGGGNTTGCCAAAAATTTCTTCCTTTTACTCTAAAAGCACAAATTCCCCCTTTTAATGAATGTCCACACGAAGCGCTCCCACAATGCCTGACTCTTAGAAAGACACTTTTCCAAGGGAAAGTATAACACCCAGATAAATCAATGTGGAGGAATGAGAACAAAATTGAACTTAATGGCTTTATGCCTCTGTGAAATATATTTCTAGTTGACATAAGTAGTAGATCTAGTGTAGGCGGTAATTGATTATGCAATGCGACTCCTGGTACACTGACACCAACTCCTCAAAATCGAAGTTTTGCAGAAAAGATTTATTATTTGCCTAAAGGTGATTCATACGCGTGTTCAAGTGGAGAGATTTCATGATAAAAAGGGGAGTAGAAGGCGGAGCTGTTTATTATTTTAAGAGATCCGTCGTGTGCCGAAGTGTGGAGGGGTGGGGTTGGAGGTGAGCAAGTTTCACAAGTAATTCCTTTCCCACTTTACCCGAACACAGGTGACATAAACGTGACTTTCGAGGGCAAGGGATCAAGTTGATACTTAATTTAGTTGGGGTGAACGAGCTTGTGCTCATTACAAAAAACGAGCATTTATGAATTCGAATAGGAAGTTGTAGTGATTGGTAGGGAGATTCGTTTATTTAAGGATGAATGCTATCGAGCTTGGAGAATTGAGCTGCAGCAAATAAAGAAGAAAAAAGTGGAAACCATTGCAACTGTTAGGTCAAAGAATAAAGAGGGAATAAATACTGCCCCCCCCNTTCAATTCAATTTAAGGGAATACTCGTTAAAACAAATGCGAGTGACGTGATATTTCGTTCAAGAAAAACAGTTGAAAACAAGGCTATTACTCGTTTGTTTTACATCACCATTCCCCCTTCCACCCTCAACTAAATTTTGGTAGCAATAATAGTGGATTTCTTAGATCAAATGGACCCGACCAATTTAATTATTGCTTGTATTGCCGTTGGGAGAATATCAACATCAGCCATGTTATTATATCTTCTATTTAATTTTTTATTTAGCCTGTTGTAAAAACGTCAGTTTCGCCATAACTAATTCCAATTTACATGCATAACATCATATTTTAAAGAATGAAAGTTGTGACTCAAAGTTGCGATTAACTTTCAACTTCTCCATTCGTTACCTACTGTACTACATAGGTGTCAATTTTAATAACACATCAATTTTTTGGCAATTGAGTTACAGGTGCTTGTTTATCCATCGGGTCAGAAATTGAGCCACCCTTTTTCAGAAACAACAAGAAAACTCGAATATTTCAGGTTATGTCACTTTATTAATTTTTTTCATTGTTTTCAGATTTCTGTTCTTAATTCATCAATCGAGGGTGATTTTGCAATTGTTGCTACAAACTCTGAGAGCTGTGGCATGTTAACAAGCGATAATCATATTCCGTCGCATTTTCACACCAATTGTGGATTCAACAACTCAGAAGGTGGAGAATGATCCGCCACCCAGTAACTGCAATCCTAACTGACTTCTTCTGTGGTTAGAAAGTGTTTGCACACATAAGGATCATAATTTTACGCAAGTACTAATTAGACTATGCACTTAGGAAGAGGGGGGGGGGGATGAGAGGAGGATGGGTGGAAGGGGATGAGGAAGGGGACGAGGAAGGGGACGAGGAAGGGGGGAGGGTTAATGTTCACTTGTCGAAGGGACAATGAAGGCAGTAGAAGTAAGAGTTGGGGAATCAGGAGAGCGCAATGTCATTAGAGCTCCCGAATTATCAAATTACTTGTTTTCTCCCAACTCCTATTCTTGTCATTACCATATTCTGGATTAGGTAAACTTGTATGATAAGATTTGTTGAGATTTCTAAGTCCTTCTTTTCTAAGACGGTTGATCTTCCATCCACCTTCTGCACCAGTGAACTGGTAAACTGTGGGTTTGCAGTGACCGATCCGTCAGTGTCTTCTCATCTCACTTTATTTGAGATCATACAACCGGAAATCCGACCAAAAGTTCACTTTGTGCCCACACAGGGTCAGAAGTAGTTGATGTTCGATATTGCTATGAATATACTCTTTCGCCTGATTCATCATTCAGATATCGGCCTCTTCTGGTCTACAGTCTTTTTTCTATTGTAAAATTCAACTTTCACTTCCATCACTTCTGAAGGTGGGTTGATCATTTTAAGTTCATCTTCAATGTTCAATATAGCAATTTACTCATAAATAAAGATGCCGTTAACAATAGAGTTCTTTCTTCATTTAACTAGCATCTTTACTGTCATTTAACTGAGAAATTATAATTTGTACATTAATTGCCATTAAAAGGCTATCTTCTCAAGATATCTGACCTGCGATTTCAGCATATACGTCTTAAGTGGAATAGCAGCAAACGCTTCAATTATACTCTATTTGGACAACGCGAATCGAAATATCCATTTTACTGATTGTGTTGAACTAATCGGAATTTTAGTAATTCCTACCAAACAACTTTTACTTCTGAAAAAAATCGACATAATTAGTCATAAAATTAATGTAAAAGGGATTTCTTCAATTAAATCGATTATTTTATACACTGCGTGTAAGTAAGCGATAAATTATTTGTGGACCAAATTCAGCATTACTGCCTATGCGAAACTAATTTTATTTATCAGATTCACATTCATACAAATATTTAAATGTAACCACCTTTAATATTCAAATGCTTATAATGGATTTGGTTAGCGATTCTAGATTAGAAAGCAACAAATCAAATGATAGCGGTAGTCGCGTGTGCACGATTTTGACCAATCATAGCATTCTACAACTAGGAGGACAGAAGTAAAAGATTTTTTCAGTTAAATAAACTCCAAACCCTAGTACTATCCAAAACATGGAACATAAAATTTAAAAGATGATTTTCAGGAAAATCTCACAATATTTTCCATGTTACGATGCTACTAATTTAAAAGGCATATCTGGCTATTTTAGACACCCTTATGAGATGGGCTTTACTGAACTTCAAGTTCATTATGCAATATTTATTTTATTTATATATGCATGTCGCCATCCTGTATTTTTTAAGAACAACCTTTTAATAATGGCGTTCACAGTTTCTTTTTCAAAGCGACCTCGAATTTTTAAATTTATTTAAACAATTTACAATGGAAGTTGTTACGGTTTTTTCAATGAATTTTTTAACAGGACTAACCAGGGACAACTTACACTTAGCAATCTTTACTGAACTTATCGCTTGCTGTTCAAATGATTACGTTTTAGTGCAAAGCGTAGTAATAGCATTCAAAATTTTGAAGCGTATGAAATCAGTTATTTAATCACTTTTAATAAAAGCGCGGACTCAAGTCATTTTCACTGATATATATATTAATCACAAGTTGCATTGAGAATAAAGCGGCTTTGAAACTCTCTCTCTCTCTCTCAAAAGTTAGTTCGTAACTTGAAGGTTGATATATTTTGCATAAGTGCTTCGATTGAAAATATGACCTAGCTCACAGTTGTTGGCAAACTCTTGTAATTTGGGTGTCATCTCCAATGGTATTGATGGGGTGTGGTGAAGAATGCTAACCAATCTCCATCAAGAAGGCACACTGTGTGGTCGTATCTATTTATAGAGGGCATTATTTGAACTGCAATCCCACTCCCACCCCACCCCCCTATGACCTAGGTCACAGATCCACATGCCACAATGTAAGATAATTAAGTGCATACTTTTGCGTTTAATAAAGTAAGTGGGTCAATGACTCAATACTGTCTTATCGAGTGAATCACGCCTCCATTAGGTCTACCGAGGAGTTGTTAGGTCGGTGAAATTAAGATATCAACTGAGTAAGATTTTGTTTTATTCAGATANCACGAATAAACTCTTATATTGTATAGTTTTTATCATTTTTGTGTTATCATCAAATTTCAAAGGTAAATAAAAAATCATCCACCTTAAAGATTCTGAATATGGAATTAACAATTTTTATTTCGGGCAAAGATTAACGATAAAATAACCAAATGCAAATAACTTTGCATTTACTTAGTTTAAATCAATCATATTAGTCACATACTCCTTGATAAATATTCAAAAATGTTGGATTTATTAAAATTTTCAAAACTGATCACTACTTAAGCTACTCGCACCCCTCTGATTAGCTGTCACAGGCAAATGTGACACATCACAAATTTGATTGGCTACGCGTGGGCCAATAGTATTTTCAAGAGTGGCTATTCAGACTAAAGAGCTAAAGCAATTCAGTAAATAGAACTGTTTTCCAGTAATCGTATGCCCATTTTTTTCGACTAACAACAATCAAGGAACTGTGCCAATGAACAATCAGAATATTCCGAACAAAATGCCGAATTTAACCATCATCTACCCTTCTCCTCCCAGTGTAAGTTCTGGATCGATCTCGGCAGTTCAAGGAACGTCTACCCAATTGAGTGAACAAGAAAGGAACAGAAAGGTGAGCTTCGAATTTGTGATAAGTTTTCTCTGAACATTGTCAATTTTTCACTGTTAGAATAAAGATTCTAAAAGATTGCTTCCTTATTTTCTGGTTAAAAAGAGACGACTGGCACGACAACGACGCTTGGAAGTCGATAACCTCATCAAGGCTATGTATGATCACGTTTTCGAGATGTCTGGTGAAGTAAGTCCTCTTCTAACATGCAGTGATAACAGTATTTTGTGCAGACCTCAGTCTCCCCCTCCCACTCACCCCCCCTTCCCTCCACTTTAGTCCTAGTTGAACTTGGAATTGTCGAATAAATTGACAACGAGGTTATGTTTATTTCACACATCTCTCCCCAATCCCCCATAAAATATGTTTTTGTGTGTTTCAGAAATCTCCAAAAACTGATACTTGTGATATGATGGAAGACATTCAAAAGGTGATACAATCCCTACGCAAGAATGTGATGGAAGATCCGGATTTGAGAGCGAGAGTTCTACCACCTGGTTTACTAACACCTAAAGTTACTGAGGCAAACACTCGTGTAGAGAATGCTGCAGTATCTCCTATGAGGGAAGAAAAGAAAGAAGTGGAAGGAAAAGTGGTAGGAGAAGGAGAAGAAGTGGAGAATGTACCATCAGGATTGAATGAAGTCCCACTTTCTCCTCTTTCTCACATTCCATCTTCTATCAAAACTACCTCGACACCAGTGGAAGGTAGTGGAAAGAGAATGGATAGTACAGACGGTGGTCTTGAGCAGACACTTCCTTCTCTTTCTGCCAATGACCCCAACCAATCCACTTCATTGCCTCATGAACCTTCATCATCCGAATGATCCAGATTGTCTTCTGCTCCTCAGATTTTGCAGCCTTACCTTTAGTGGGTGGTCTTTGTACTTTGTCCGAATTGTAATCATTCTTGCACATTCGACACCTATTTTGACAATAAAAGGATCTGGCCTATGGAGGATTTCGGGCTTCCCTGACCTGTCATATTAAACGAACCCTGTACTGACTGCTCAAATAAAATTTTATTCATAGGAAATAAATCTCAGCTTTTTTGATTAGTTTATTGTTGGATCTCAATAGGTAGTTGTTATTTTATCCATGTGGTGGGAAAATTTTTATGTGTTTAAATCCTATAATATTTGCAAGTTGGCTGGAATACTGGCAACTAAAAATCTTGAGCACTTCTTTCAATGGTTAAACCGGCTAATCGCACGAGTTTAAATCGATCTTTCTGATGACCC